TATAAAATCAACAGAAAATGGAAATACACTTTTTAAAGTTTCTAATACTAGGAGAAGATATCATACGATGTCTTTTAAATAATTTGTAAGTTAAAGATATAGTATAAATCTTAGAAAAAATTAAGATTAAGCAATATTCAGAAAATGAATACTAATTAATTAAAAATTAAATGTTTCAAAACAATTGAACTAAGAAAAAGCTTTTTTTTTTTTTTTTTTTATGCGGAACTGGGGATTGAACTCAGGCCCTTGTGCTTGCCGGGGAAGCACAAGAAAAAGCTTTCATGACAGCGAAGAAGTACTAAAAGTAAAAAGGAAGATAAGTACTGGAATAGCAAATAAATGACCAGCACTTCTAATAGTTTGAGGATAGGATATCGCACAAAGTTCTAGTGTGCTGTGGACGCATAATGACCATCCAGACCTGGTGCTAAAGTAATAACTCTACCTAAGCTCTACACCAAAGGTCAGAAGACAATGGTATACAAAATGACAAAGAGAAGGAACAAAATGCAGTCTCAGGCCCCGAGTCCACCCAGTACAAATGCAGAAGACACTAGCACTGAGGAAACTGGAAATCACACGCCAGATATCTCTGAAATAATAGCATTGGCAGTAAAGAAACAACTGCAGAAAGGTATAGAAGAAATCAGATCAGAAATAATTTCAGAACTAAAAAATGTAGTGATAACTATAATCAAAAAAGTACTAAGTGCTTCAAAAGAATACACTGACAAAAAAAAAATAGAGCAGAATATAAAAATGAGGGTCAATGTTTTGAATCCATTCAGGACATCAAGTCAGCCAGGACCACACAACTGAAGACACTCAGGAAACAGGACTCCAGAGCTGTTGCAGGAAGTGGCAAGGACAATGGGTGAGTGTTTCCAGTGAAGATGGTGGTGGTGGCAGGGGTGGTTCATGGAAATAAGTCTCTTACTTTCATAATTAAAAAAAAATTTAAATATTCACTGTATTTTTCTAGCATAGCATATATATTCTGAAGAGGGAAGGGAGAAAAGCTCTGGGAATGAAGAAAGAGTGACAGGAAACCTAAAAAGCACAGAGAAACCCACAAGTCAGAGTAAATCACTGAGGGCCCACACAGCCAGCCCCAGTGGGGAAATAGACACACACCCCACATACAGGGCAACAGGGATACCCCCGGCCTGGTGGCAGTGGTGGGACAGTGGCCCGAACCACAGGAGAAACCCATGGACTAGGACACCTGGGCCCCAGGGCTGGAACTGAATTGAAATGTTCCTCTGCAGGGCAGATGGCTCTGGGGGAGAGTCTCAGAGTGGGGCTGGGGGCTGGGGCCAGGCCATGCAGGAGACCTGAGGGCACGCAGAGCCAGGGCTGGGGGACCTGGTGAATGGGGGCAGGACAGCTTCAGGGACTGCAGTGGAGCTCAGCCATGGGGCTCTAACTCAGAGGGCAGTGGGCAGCCACACCGGCCCCGATGGTCTCCAAGGGTCTGGGGTGGCAGCAGACAGTACCTGCCAACTGTGCCCCCACAAGCATCACACTTAGAGCGGACATCTGCCACAGCCTGGGGACGTGCTAGGGCCACGAGTGGAAGAGCCTTGGCCCTGGGCAGACATAGCCCCAAGGGACACGGAAAGGAAGTGGGGGCTGTGGGACAGCTCTGGGAAGTGAGGTGCAGCCCCCAGGGCATCCACCCTCCCCATACCTGGTGATTTCCAGTATCACAAGTCTTGAAAGCAAGAATCTTTGTTAACCCACACTCCTGGGTGTGCAGGAAATTGTAGACACACTTTTTCTTTTATTAATTTCTTTTTAAGCTTCTTTTTCTTTTGTTCATTCTTTATCTTTTATCACATTTTATTCACTTTTAAACACTAATGATTTTTAAAAATCTTTTGCTCTTCTCTTTAAAATTGTCTTTTCTACTTTTAAATAGGACCTCAGTATGGAGTTCAGGTTGGCCTTGGACTCACTGTGTAGCCCAGGCTGGCTTCCAATTCACGGTGATCATCCTGCCTCAGCTTTCTGAGTGCTGGCATTACAGGCATGTGCCACCATGCCCAGCTTCTCCTCATTTTGTTTCCCTTTTTCTCCTTGCTTTCCTACCTTTCCTCCTTTTGGTGGTACAGGGGACTGAACCAAGGTTCTCACAGTGGGCTAAATCCTCAGCCTTTAAAAAAAAAAAATTTTGTGTGGAAAAAGTAAAACAATATTTCATATCAAAATAATAGGAGAATAATGATAATTAATACTTTGAGTATTGTTATCTTTAGAGTAGTTACTCAGAGTACGAGATATGTATATAAAGAAATTCTCTGACAATATTAACACAAACTTTTCAGTGAACTGAAAGAAAATAGTAGTATACTTGTTTTGTATTTTGTGTTTTTTCTTTTCCATTCTTTCCTTTCCCTTTCTCCCATCCTAGTTCCTTTTGAACAGTTTCTTCCAAGCCCTTCTTTATTTAGAAACACACTCCAGAATATAGGGCTTATAGGCATTCTTAGCTTATTACTTTTAACCTTTATTAACCTTTTAGCTCATTATTATTATTGTTGTTTGCTTTTCTATTATTATAGCTGTATAGCTCCTGCTTTTAATTATTTATTTTTACTCTATCACATTACCTGATTTTTCTCTATGTCATTTTCACCACAACAGTCTGTTTTCTACTCTAAGCAGTAGTGGGGATTGGGCCCTTAAAAGTAGGCCGATCACTAAAAAGATCCTCATATAAAAGTGGGGGAAACATCTAGTCCCAACAGCTGCACCAATGTCAAGATAGAAGCACAAGGGGCTGGGGAGATAGCTCAGTAGAATAAGTGCTTGCCTGGCAAACACAAGGTCTTGAGTTCAATCCCCAGTATGGAAAAAAAAAAAAAAAAAAAGATAGAAACACAAGAACTATGAGAAAACAAAGCAACATAACTCCTCTAAATAACCATAGCTCATCAAATGCTGGACAAAAGGGGCCAGACAGATAGCTCAGCAGACTAAAGTGCCTGCTCAGGCAGAGTACAGCAGCTGGGGTTCGAGCTCCAGCATGCCATGCCAGCCCCCCCCCCCACTGAGACAGCAATTGAGACTGGGCATGGTGGCGTGTGCCTATAATCCCAGTGCTTGGGAGGCTGAAAACAGGAGAATTACTGTGAGTCTGATCTACATAGTGAGACCCTGTAGATCCTGTTCCAAATACATTAAAAAAAAAAATTAAAAAAAAAAAAAAAGGCTGGACAAAGAATTCAAGAAATTGATTTGTAAAAAAAAAATAAATAAATAATGCCATAGTTACTTTGCTGAGACAAAGTGCCTGACACCCACAACTTAAAGGAGAGATTAACTTAGGTTCATGGTTTGTGGAGACTTTAGTCCATAGTTGGCTATCTCTAAGGCAGGTCAGCATGACAGACGAGAGAGAGTTCATTGCAGAGAAGACAGGAGGCAAAGCCAAGATCAAAGGAGGAGAAGGGATGTATACACACCCTCCCAGGCTGTGCCGCA